ATGGCAATATTAATGGGAGTGAGTTAGCATTAGTACAGTAGCATTTGAAAATGTCTCGGATGGTGCTCATGGAAAGCGGGTAAACAAAGAATGAACGACGAAGGACAAAGATGGGAGAAAAGCCAATGTAAAATGTGAATGAGGGACAATGCTCGGATGGTGCTCATGGAAAGCGGGTAAACAAAGAATGAACGATGAAGGACAAAGATGGGAGAAAAGCCAATGTAAAATGTGAATGAGGGACAATGCGCAGTCGTCAGAGCAAGTGCCTTTCATCTCTGAGTTCGTGGTTTCGTTTCTCGCTACGGACTCATGCGAAAAGAGTCAGTCAACCTCTGCCGAAAGTTGTGGATTTCTCAGGGTGCTCGGGTTAGGATAACCACAGTTAAGAAAGTAATATCACAATTGTTGTAAAGATAAAATAATCTACACGGCAAAAAAACGCCGAGCCCGTTGCCCAACAGGACTGAACAATGTTTTGCTGCCCACGTTGTTTACACTTGTCAACAATATTGAACAATGTTGTTGAGCCTGAATCGGGTGTAACAATATTGTTCAATATTGTTGACAGCTATGAACAATGTGGGCAGCAAAACATTGTTCAATCCTGTTTTCATCAGTATTGCATCAACCTGAGCGAACAATGTGGGCAGCAAAACATTGTTCAATCCTGTTTTCATCAGTATTGCATCAACCTGAGCGCGTGTAGGCTAAGTATGTAATTAGGTAAGCGTATAATATTTGATGTAAAGCGCATCTGATTATATCCGCATGGAAATTTGCGCTATAGAAATGGCTAATCGTAATGCGGATCTGAGGAAGATGTGAATGATGAGGTTCGTTGGAGGGCGAGATTGGAAATGAAAAGGATGAAGATGGAATTGACACCAGTTGTAGAGATGGTGAGAGAAGAAACGCAGAAAAGTTATGGATACAAAATAAGAAGAGGTGAAAGAAAGCCGTTGTTAGTGCGGAAGATAAAAGGTGGGGACTGAATAAGGAAAGGACGGACTGTCTAAATATTATGGATCTGAAGGTTGATAGGGCTAGAAAAGAGTGGGGAACAAAGATCCGACTAGAACTAGTGCTAGGTAAAAGAAGAAGAAACTCAAAGCAGTTTTCTATACGGAGAAAATGCCGCAGATTGTTCCAAAACGAAGAAAACATTGCCAACCAAAGTTTAAATCTGGACGAAAATTTACGCCTGAGACGATTCTGTCTTTAAAAACGTTGTGGAATTTACAGGGCTGTATAAAACTTTACAAATCATTACCTCAGGTGCTATTATATTATTAAAAGGATAGCATACAGCAAAGACTACAGCGGACGGTTAGCCAAATCATGTACAGTTGTCTTCAACATTTGCGTAAGCAGTAGCATGGTTTCTCGTGCACTTTGGATGAAGCAAGCACTTGTAAGTTTTTCAAAGACCTCAATCTCCACACGACGTGCTTATTTTCGTGCTATGTTCGTGAACACTGAAAATCCCACTCGTTTATATTTTATCCAAATTGCACTCGAAATGATCCTATTATACCTATATAGTCCTATACAGTACTGTATATACGAAAAGTTTTCATAAAAATGCCAGCTACCAGATTTAACTTATTTTCATGTTAGATCATGACGTTAACATTTTATGTTTTAGGACATACTTAATCAGCATTCCGCTACATTGGCACAGTTAAATCCGGAGGATACGAGTAAGAATATTTATTCTTAAATTTACGTAACAGTTGTTCATGCATTAGGTTTTGCTATATTATTTCTCTTGTTGAATCAACTGTAAAATATATTGGTTTATTAAAGAGCCCTGGAGTTATATTATATATTAACTCCTTTAAGAGTATTTATTACCTCGGGTTGGTACGACACCGAGGTCATAAATTCGGCTCCTATTTTTTTTCTCCATTTTGTGTCGAGCCGCGCGCGTAGTCGAAGAGCCTGCGGAGGAGACGACAACTTCCGGTAAATAAGTGTACTTCCGGGAAATTTCAAGCATCGGCCAAAGCGAAACCCGAAGCTGTACTTGCACAAAATCCGTCAAAATTGTTGATTTAAAACCAGAAGATGTGATAATTTTGACATACATGTTTAGCTGGATAACTATTCTCGAGTATATGCTGATATAATGTACAATACTTCGTATGCATAGCATGGGAATACCGCGGCCAACTTTCACTTGTTTGATACTGCTAAGCATTTTATGGATGGTTCTTACTGTAACTGGTATAGACAACAATTTTGCCAACTGTCCACTCGTTACATTCTTCGACTGTGGTACAACTATTACTAATGATGGATCAGTTATATGCACCTAATTATATTTTCAGTACTTTGATATATTTTAAAAATATCTGAAGTGACTGTCGTTCTGCTATGTGCAATCAACAAATAGACTGATAATTTTGTCTGTTAGTGTTACTAAATACAAGATGAAATAGTGAAGTAGCTATGTATATCATTCACTCGTCCACAAAATATCCCAAATAATGAATAAATACAGTTAAATAATTAAATTCTCTAAATTGTTCCTGTATTTAACTATTATCAATAAAATGTTAAAACGGAGCTTTGATTCACTGATTCACCATTTATACTAGTGAACTATTAAACTATCGTGATTTACACGATTTTTACATATTTACCAGACGATGCCCTATCCACCGACCCGAGGTTAACGCCGAGCGGGCGTCTTGTTCTGAATAAAGGTGTTGCTAACAGAACTACAATAGCTAATTTTCCTTTAAAATAGATAAGAAAAGTATTAAGGGTCCAGAATTACTAACATGTTCGTGAACAAACAGAAAGTATAGTACTTTTTGCGTATAGTACCCCCCCCCCCCCAGAACCTCGGGAATGATGATAGGTTGATAATTATAGATGATCTCTATATAAAGACATTCCGTTATAGTACCATTAAACAAGGCTGGTATAGCATAAGGAAATTGTACAGTAGATTTATATAGTTAATTTTAAATAGGCCGTTTGCTGTGACCTCGAAAAGTGCCTAGAAAACGATTTTCATTTCACCTGTCTTGGAACTGAAATATTTTTACGGGAACTAACACTTTCGAACACGCTGAGTTCAAATCCGAAAAGTTCCCACTCTATAGACCTGCAGTTTTCTCACAAACTGCAATTTTATCTTCACTAATTTCACGACAACCTTTTTCATGTTCAACGACACGGATCGATGACAACAAACGATTATGTCACTCAAATGGACCAATTTCTGTTAACCAGTCTTCCTTTTAACAAAAGTCCGGTTTTGCTTGAATCATTTTGAGTTATGTTATATTATGCGTGTTGGACGCAAACAACATATCTTGTCTACAACTTTGGGAAGGTACAGATAAAGCTTTCTAAAATCCTCCGTTCTGGCTCTACAGTACCTCTATGAAATTACAAGGATGTTAATGCTAAGTCTTTTGGCTATGTCTCTGGGCTGAGAAATAATTCCTTACAGTACGTGCGGTCAAAATGTTTTATACAACGGTGTAAAACGGTAATGTTATGTAATGGGTCAGCATTTAAATTTCCAACACAGTTTTTGAGACGTAATTCAAGAGGTAACTTATCACTGCATTTGAACTATTATATCAGTTGGTGTTATTCTGTGCGATTAGCGAGTATTATTAGAAAGAGGGCTTTCATATACGTTGAAATCACCAAATATTAAACAGCTCATGCACATATTTCTCCACTTCCTCGTACGTTTACGGAGCAGATTTTATACATTGGCACTGATATTTGTCTTTGATGTGAACATTTATTCTTCTAGTTTGTGATTATTTAAGAGTGATCCTGTCGTAAGACTTCTACGAGCAACCAATCGGCGACAATATTTCGCACTTTTGAGTCGATCCGTGTCGTTGAACAATGAAAAATGTTGTCTTAAAATTAGTGGAGATAAAATTGCAGTTTGTGAGAAAACTGCAGGGGCCGGTGTTCAAAGGTGGATTAGCGGCAATTTAGCGCTAACCCTGGTTTAAAATTTAACCTGCTGTTTTAGTTTGTGTATTTCTGCACGTCTGTTTATTTCAAAATTTCAGAGAAGTAAACTCCTATCGATCCAGACAAGATCTCTGAAGAAATATTTCCAAATTTATAACCAAGCTGTCAGGAAGTTTGCTTTGAATTTCAGGTTAACCTAGGGTTAAGCTAACCCAGCTTTGAACAACCGGCCCCAGGTCTACAGAGCGGGAACTTTTTGGATTTGAACTCAGCGTGTTCGAAAGTGTTAGTTCCCCGTAAAATATTTCAGTTCCAGGACATGGAAAATGAAAGTGAACGATATCGGGAGGCAGCAAACGGCCTAAAACTAAAAAACTCTGGGGAATTCTGAATGTTATTTTTATCTCTTTCCACTGTTTCCAGGAGATCCATCGATATCCAAGCTAATATAAAGTATATCTTCTTCAGGTATTCCACACGAAGTTGACAGTTATCACGCATTAGTTCCGTTAGAGCCAATCGACTCAATCGCAAATCAACAGGTTGGTAGCATGCAAATGATTCAGTGAATGTTTGGCTCTTTATTAGGAAAAGCTGTGAAAACTGATTGCGACCAATTGATATCATCAATTCTCAAGCATCAAGTTCTTACATCTTAGTCGTGTGGCAAAAAGATGAAAAAGAGAGAAATCATGGATGATTTTACAATAATATGCGAAACAAGAGTTATTAAGACAAGGCCTACTCTCGTCCACGCCTATTCACTTCCATGCCTCGTGACGTCCACTTAAAAATAATATTCTTACTTTTTTAGTCCCGTCGAACATTTGGGTGCATAACGAGTTGCTATAAATGTGTCAATTCTAAAGATGGCTTGACATACGTCTTAAGAAGAATGCACGGTATTGTTCATATTTTATCAGTTAAACGTGCTCAGAAACTAGCACGCATCAGCATTTTAACTAGACCACAAATCTGCTAAAAGAATTGCAACACAAAAATTTATATTATTTTAATACGTAATAACATCATTCAATATACACAAATCACACAATGTTAGTAAAGACCTTTTGTGATTTATATCCACGCTGTCCAAAATTACTTGCGGCAGAAACCAAATTGGGTTATCGCAAAATCACCTTTGCGGTAACCTGGGTTTTACCAAAACAAAAACTTGTCAGAAGAACTTAGAATTTATTATTTCATATGTCCAAATGAATTGTAAAGTAACCCAATTATATCATGCACAGAACGCGTAACGAAATTTAAATATTAACTGTTAACACAGTTACTAATTATAGAATTAAGAGATTACGGACTTACATTACTTCAGGGAAACCAAATTAGGTTACCGCAAAACAAAGTTTGCGGTAACGTGGCAGTAACCCAGCTTTGGTTACCGCAATTTTGGACAGCCTGATACCATTTCATATTACGTCACCATTTATAACTAGGTATTCGACTGACGAACACTAAAGCCAAGGGGATTGTGGACGAATGGAAAAAACTTCAACATTCAAATTTGGTTCAACTCCGTGAAGTGTTTACAACGAAAGCTTTTGATGACAACTGTAAGTACCGTACTTTACAAAAGTAATAAATACGAAAAACACGCCAAGAGAAAAATCTTCACTCCAGAAATTGCCATCAACGATCGGAGGTGTTGTGGTTAGTGTATGCAACTTTTACCTTTACGACAGGGATTCGATTTTGAATTTAATCCGTTTTCCACAAGACGAATTTGTTCGCACAAAGCGACTTTCTCCTTTGTCAGCATCGTTTATCACGTCAACAGAAGTAATGCCCAAGGTTCGATAAATCACGTACTTCGTACTGGAGGTACGAAAATATTACCGCCCGTGTTACTTCTCTGTTTTCAATCGCATATACTCATGCATGTAGGTACGTGCATGGAACTTTTGCTATCCGTCTGCTTACTTTCTGCTTTAAAAAATTAAGTACACCTCAATAGGGTTTTTGAACCAGTTCAAGTACAAAACATTGGAATACCAGTGTGGTACGACTAAAAATCTTGAATTTTAGCACCCTGGATGCCAACATAGGAAATGGGCTTTAGTTTTGTGATATAATTTCTCCTAATTCGCACGTGACTGAATGGTGTGTTTCCAGTTTGACTAAGTCACTATACCAAACACCATAATCCGGATATTCCAGTTTGCTTTTCCATAAACCCTAGACCAATAAGGGGTGACAATTGCAACTACGTAGTTTAGGATTGAACACTGGAGGTTCGGGATTTTTGTCTTCATTTGATCATTTGATCGTAGCTTATTCAATGCAAGGTTTGGAAACTATGGAAGTACATTAAAGTCTTTAGGTTTATGCATTGATGTGGCACGCGTGGATGGTTACACCAAGGAATTGCTTTTGTTGTTTTGGACAGCCGTGACAACAAAGGACCACGCATGCACATCCTTGCATAAACCTAGTTTGCATAACTAAGTGTTGGGTGGGGCTGAGGTGGAATCATCTGGGAACCTGGGTTTAGGGCTCAAAATGTTCTGCAAAATTGTCGTTTGTCAACTGAATTTAAAATAATGGTGAGTTAAATGATTTTGTTTTCTTTCTTCGAATAGTTGATAAACTAGTATTAATAATTCATCAGATCAAGTTAACCCTACAGCGGAACGGAAGCTCCAGGATAAATACTTTAAAATCTAATGAGCAAGTTTGGTGTTTACTGTTGAACATTCTTATTTTTGCGCACGATTATGTTTTGTTTTTTTTTTCCTCAATAACCACTGGATATAACCGAGAGTTTTTGGAAGGCATAACATAAGAGTGGGCGCATCAACTGCTTTGATCCTCAACATCTTCAACTAATGTACATTGAAAATACTCGAAAATGTAGCCACTGTTGTCTGTTTATTTGAACCTTGACAGTGACTGAGTTCTTATATCTGTTTTTCACCTTTTTTGAGAAGGTGACCACTTCTATCTAATGGTCTTATGACTTCTAACATCGATACTGTAATAAGGTCGACACAATGAGATATGGTGTACAGTGTATGTTCTGGATTCACATATTCTTATTGATGGATTCAGTCATTCCTAAATACAAATGCAACGACGTGGATGTGCTATCACGGGACTCTGTGTTAGGACAGTGTCTATATTCTTACTCTACATTAACTATCTCCTTGCGATTTTGAAACATAAGGATATTTACAGATGACACCATATTCGGATTTAGATTATGCCATTCTCCAAAGTGATGTTAATAAATTATAATTCCATCCTGACAAGTGCGAAGTACTATGCATAAGACGTAAATGCCAGCTTATTGTACACGATTATCAGATTATTGTACTGAGAAATTATAACAGGACATCGAGTTTCTTGATAGATAGAAGTGAGGCATTTTGAAAGGAGAGTATACTCATTGCCTTCATTACCTCCTAATTTTGTATTTGCCGATTTCTTTTTTCAGTAAACGGTTTATTAGTATTACTCTCAAATAAAAACTCGTTTGATGCAAACCCGTCGAAATATTCGAGAGGCAGACTTGGTTACCATTTTGCTAGGCATTCGCATGCAAAGTCCGTTTTCTTTTTTGAAGGGTTTATAGTTTCGTCGCGCGCCCCTCTGGTACCTTCGTCGCTTTCCTGCGATGTATAAAGATTTATTGTGAAAAAGATTTTGCTTATTTGCTTTCTTTGCTTTTACAAAGAACTTACATGAAGTTTCCTACTCCCAAATGAGGTTAGCACTATTTTCCATCCAGCAAACCACCCGATCGATTTTCTGAAGTCGTTCCTTTTTGGATTTTTTTTATTATTTCGGTTAGGGTTAGGGTTTGGGTTGCGGTTAGGGGTTAGAGTAGGGTATAGGTTAGTTACATAACTATTTAATACTTCTTCCATCTTCCGAAAATGACGTCAGATCAGTTTGCTGGATGCAAAATAGTACTAACCGTGTGACGAGCTAGTCACGAGAACAGAAAATTGACTCTATATGACCACAGACCGTGGTAGAGTATTGACTACTAGAAGTTACTATCGCAAGGAAAGTGCTGCCTCACCCCCAAGAAATCAAAGGCAGCATGCGCAATTTGCTAAATAAGGGGCTGTTTATGTGACCCCGCTTTGCCAGGACGAGATATGAGGCGGGATGATTTCAATGTATTGAAATAAGTCACGGTCCACAATTGAGCAAAAAACATTTTCTAGAGATAGATTATAGTTAACTGTAAACAAAAGGTTTTTCAAGCAGCAATAATAATTTTCTTGAACTACAAGATCTTCTCTACAATATTTGAGTTCTGTTAACAAGCATTTGAACTTTTGTTTAGCCTAATGACTTATTCAAATACATGAAACATTATTCCGCTTTCCATGAGCTCCATCATGTAAACAGCCCTAAAACACATGTTCAGGAGGTAGGAAAAGTGCAATTTGAATAACAAAAATTCTACTTTCTTGGCATTGGTGATTTTATTTGATACCTTCAATGAGCACTTACAACTTCTTGCTTTTGTATGTATAATTATAACACTGTCAGTGGCAAAGCTATGCAATAGCAGACTGATCTCAGCCGACCCCCACTGGAGCGGCGGAGAACAGTCTGCGATCAATCAACACTAATGCTGTACAGTACATAAGCAGTATTTTGCGTAATTAATTTAAAATTATTCAAAAAATGTCAAGTCTAAGATGGCGGACGCAGAGCAATTATGAATTATTATACATAGCAATGTAATTTATGCAATTTTCGGCATAATCACAAAGGAAAATTTCAACCAATCGTATTCCGCCCCACGTTGTGCGGGGGCGACTGTACAGCATTAGCGTTGATTGATTGCAGACTGTTGATCCACAGGGGGGTTGGCTGAGATCAGTCTGCTATTGCAGACAATGGTGAAGCTAGCCATAGCAACAGGTCATGCTATGCCAGTTTTTAATGATTTGCATTATTCAAATAGATACAGGCTTATTGGCGTGGCATGACTAGTCGCCATGGTAGTTAGCTTGCCACTGAATACTGTACAAAATATATTATATATAAACGATAATAATACTTGAATGAATCATTGGACATGTAGAATTTAATAACAATTTCATATATAGAATATTAAGATTTAAGTTAGTTTTTGTCCCAATTATCGTTTTAATGCCATAATGGCACCTTCAAGGCTACCACCCCTATTGCAAAACAAATGAACAAACTGCTGATTCCTGATCGGGAGGCAAAATCTAAATGTTGACAGGTTTTGTTTCATATATCAGCTTGTTATGACACCATTCACTTGTACTTGTACTCAGTCAGAACTGCAAAACTATAGTAATACAAGAATTTTATCAAAAAATATAGTATACTAATACCCTGAGTACTGTAGTGACAGGATTATTTCATATTACGCTATAAACAATGTATATATCTCAGAGATATATTTTTACAGGCCGTCATACCTTTTACAAAAGTCGGTTGACATTTCATGTAACTGCTGGTAATTAGTTACAGTAATATGTGCAGACTACAATCCACACTGGGTGGCTATAGGATTATCTTTGTACAAGTCAGATAATTTTTCATTCGTACACAATTGTGTTCCAATAGTGGATTCATTCGTTTCAATCTATGGTTTCAATGGGTAAAATAATTCGAACAAAACACATTGTTAATTGTGATCAAACTTTCATCTTACCTTGAAGGTTGAAGAATATTTTCGATAAACAGCCAGACGTAAAAATATATCTCGATAAAATTTGCAAGCAAGCTGGGATCAAAATTCACAAATCACAACAAGCATGAGGCAACGTGTTATTTTATACAAATTGTAATAGTCCATGGTGGCGTTCGCGAGTCTCAAGCAGGGTATTCGGAAAGTCAAATCGCGATCTAGAGGATGTTATCTTTTTGTCGTTCGGCTATACATTGTACACAGTGAACTCTAATAAGACTGGAACGATAACTCGGCCGCCATCTTTGAAGCCAAATTGAAGGCCGCCATGGACGGTAGGCGTCGAAAATACACCTCTTCGAAAAACTCGGATTTCTGCCTTTCTAGCTATGCTAGAACATAGATAAAAAGCTTAAAAACATCTACGATACTTGGACTATTGCACAAATCATGTTTGGAAGCCGTGGAAAAGACTTAACGTTATTTTTTGTGTACCTGAAAGTCGTATTTTGTTCGGCACGGAAAATATTTTGTTATTTTCTTGAATACAAAAATGGTACCTTTCGAGATTTTGCTGTTAGTGGATGTAGAATACTTAGAACTATCCAGAAAACCAAGTTTGAATATTTGAAATTGAAATCTTCGGACGAAAAACCTAATTTTTCGACGTATTTTTGCTAAAAAAACAAAATTATGAGGAAATTGAACTCTCCCCAGTTCTTTTTTGAAAGTCACAGCGCGCGAACTTCTCCCGGGCGCCGAATCACAAATCGCACATCATGGGGGATTTCTACGGAAAATCGATTTATTCACGTTTTAGAGAAGTCAAAAAGCACTCAAAATAAACAACTATACCTAGACGTTAATACAAAAAAGGTATTGGTCCGTAGACTTATGTTTTAAAGTTGTTTTTTTTTAGTTAAAGAGCAAAGTTCACTTCGGCACGTTCAACTAGTGTCGTTTTTATGAAAACAAACCTGATACCCTTCAAACTTTTGCTGTTGTAGGATGCAAAGTAGTTCTAACTATCAAATAAATCGTATTTGCGTTTTTAAAATTGAAGTCTTTTGATGAAAAACGACTTTTCTTTCGTCGAAAATAAACTTTGACTGAATTTTCCACTCCTCGAAACTCTCCTTAGTCCTTTTAAAAGTGCAATTTCCTTGCACGGTTGGCTTCAGGCAAGTATGGGCACAGAATAGGAAGTTATACCAGAAGCGTAACTCGAGCAAATATTTGTCCGCGTTTTTACAAGCGATTCGCCATCAATCACGCCATCCTGGCTAGTACAACCGGCACTTTGTACCTACCAAATCCTGATAAAAACTTCCGGCTGTACTAGCCAGGATGGCGTGGCCCGACGTGAGCGAGTATAAAATTTTCGTGGACGTCAAACAATAAGGGAAACGACTAGAGTTACGCTTCTGGTATAACTTCCTATTCTGTGGTATGGGCATGTTTACCTGAGTTATCGTTCCAAATCGTTCCAGTCTTATTAGAGTTCACTGATTGTACATAACTCGGCCAAAGAGACTGGACACACGTAAACGCAATACTTCATGTTAAGAATAGTGTGCTGCCTTCGGCAGCAATTACTATTGAGTTAATTGTGGTTCTTGAATTGGCAAAACATGCAGGAAAGATAGATAATCAGAGCAAATTGAACGCACTTTCTATTATTTAATATTGAATGAAAAAAGCGAAATGGAAGAGGCAATCACTTGCAAGGTTTGTGCAGAGGAATTTTCTGACGAAGACGGACTTATTCCGAGGATATTGACTGCTTGTGGACATAGCTTCTGTGAAACCTGTTTGAAGAAATTGCAAAATAAAACATATGTATCTAAAAAAAGTTATATTGAAGAGATGGATGGTAAATACAAAAAGAAAGTTACCAGGTCCGTTCAATACTCGATAACGTGTCCAAAATGTAAAACAGGAACTATAGGTGACTTTCCCAGTAGTTCCCTACCAAAGAACTATGGCTACTTAGACTTAAGAGCAGATGTCCACTGAAATGGAGCAAAATCGAGAATTCGCGGACACATTCAAAATTTCGATTTTGCTCATTTTTGGTTTGCTGGAAGGCATTAGCAAGTAAACAAACGTGATATGGTTTGTTTTCCAAAAACCGTTAAAATTCCGAGAAATCCGAGAAAAACCGTTCGGCTGTCGGCGACCTCAAAAATATGCAAATTTTCAGTTGAATCAAACAAGTTCAAAAACAGGTAACGCATGCAAAGTAGGAAAAAGATGTGAAAACTATACGTTTGTAAATCGATAGAAGAGATGTTTGAGACTTGATTTGGCATAAAATAATAATTTTAGCTATTAATTAAAACCTGACAGCTGATATTTAGAATCGTATGGTATTCACAAATAGCGAAAATTACGACCGTTGCCACGCAAAAAACATTTTAACTAAGTGCCCCAGATTTTTTCCTCACGAAACTTACGTCATTAACTAATTATATGTTCTTCTAGAACATATAAAAAAATTAGTGTGGGTTATTGTATTTAGAGTTCGTACGGAGGCCGTGAATATTGGGTATTTTCGACATATAGCGTGACTGAAATCGACAAGTGTTTGTTCCTTCCGGTCGCTATTTTCTCATTCGTTTATATTTTCATTCGGAATTTAAACCCGAATTTAAACTGCGTTTTAGCAGTTACAGCATTTTTAGGAAGTGTCTCTAAAGAAGCTAACATCAGGTGAAGCAAGTAGAACTGATACGATTGGCAATCGCGCGCCACCGTACTGTACGATTAAATTTACTCTCCTGATAGAACAATCACAATATTTTTGGTTCTGTTTATATCTCGCAAAATTAGTGCAGTTTTTAAAATTAGGAATATTTGCGTGCGAACCATTAACACTATTTTTATTGCTGCCAATCAAAGTCAATAAAGTACCTAAAAAATTGTTTGGCAGTGTTTTACCCGATTTCCCTGTCGTGACTGTTGTCTCTATCATCGCGTTTCTAGTAACAATGGAAATAGTGGTAAGAAATATTTGATAGAATCACAGGAATTCTACATTTCTCGTTTTCTGCCTGTTTCCACCCTGCTCCAAGAGTAGATCGATGTGCAGGATATATTACGAATTGCTCAATGTTTTCCGATTTATGCCCTGTAAATCATGATTACAATTTAACAACTGAACGCATTCTGATGATTTGTTTTTAACTCTAGTATCATGACCACAATGACCAACAACTATTGCGAAAAAGGAGCACTTTATATCCATGACGGTCAGACCTTGGCAAGATCTATTTTTAGACATGCAGTATCAAACTTTCCAGATACGAAATTTACACGTTAATTACATCGCCCGATCGCTGTCTCAAGACAAACCGGCGCTTTTACCTGAAGTTTACTTTTCACCACAAAAGTGTTTAGGATTCAAGTGTGTTTAATTTTGCTTTGTAGTTTTGTTAATGGCAGAACAATATTCTGTACCTTAAATTAATTCCAGTGTACTAGTTCCTTGAAAAATTTAAAAATACTAGTACCTTAAAAAATTTCAAACTACTAGTACCTTGAAAAATTTCAAACTACTAGTAGTTTGAAAATGAATAGTGAGCTTAAGCAAGTGACGTTTTTGACAACACGGACGTCGACCGGAAGTAAAGTTGACGTTTTCCACCAATCACAGTCCTTGACCCAGTCTTCTGACGTTACTCATGCCGTTCGTGTTGTCAAAAACGTCACTTGCTTAAGCTCACTAATACTTAATCAGGCCCGTTGACCCTGGGAGATTTCAAATCCTCCACCTGCTTTGAAGATAGTTTTCTTCCAGTTTCAAAACACTGATTAAACACATGGGCGTACCGGGGTGGGCGGCAGCCCCCCCCCCCCAGTTTGTTGGGCAAACAAAGTCAGTCGGGCAATATTCGCTCCACAGTCGGGCAATATTGGCTTATTATAAAAATAAATGGGACAAATTCTGTTAATTTTGTGGGAAATTCTGTCAATTTTGTGGTCAATTTTGTGATGTGTTGAAAATTTGTATGATGTTCCGAAAAATTTTTGTATATCCGAAAATTTTTTGGACCCCTAAAATGATACACTGACCGAAACGGGGGGGGGGGGAGGTCGCCAAAATTAATTTGTTACGGAAAAAAAATTTCGGCACTGGTCGGGCACAATCCGAAAAAGTCGGGCAAATTTCGTTCCGCTCCCTAATTTTTTCCTTCCGGTACGCCCACGATTAAACATTAATTTCTTTTGTTTTCGGTTTATAAATTATTAATGAGTTTGAGAACACAATTTCTCTGTCTCTAAGCATGTTCAGCCAAACCACATGCAAACTAACAATAAAAAAAAACTGAAAATAATTTCGAAGTCATCCTTCTTTTATAGCTTAGTGAAAATGTGCTAAGTTTTGTCTTTAGTTAAAATAAGGGGCCGATTACGTGGAGGTTTTCAGCCCGGGATGAAATTTCAGCCTGGCAAACAGGGATGAAATTTCAGACCGGGGCCCCTATAAATTCAATATAATATGAATTTTACGATTACATGGAAAAAATTTCGAATTGCAAACGAAATGCAAAATAAAGCCACTTAAACGATTGTTTTTTTAGCCCGGGCTGAAATTATTTGCGATTACATGGGATATTTCATCCCGGTTGACAGGGCTGAAATTCAGGCCGGGTTGAAATTTTCATCCCGGTTTATGTCACCCAGGATGAGATTTTCAGCCCTGTCAACCGGGATGAAATATCCCATGCATGTAATTGCAAATAATTATGCAACCACAGTCTTACACAAGTCAAATAGTCGACTAATTAATCGGCGTTTTAAATGCTCAAACAAGCGGAATATTGCCTTTCGTGATATCGTATGATTTCAGGCCGGGATGACATTTCATCCTGGGTTTGTTTTAATACTAGTTACAAGGAATAAATATTGCTCTGACTAAAACTCAGCCCAGGTTCAAACTGCCCATGTAATCGTGATGCTATTTCGGCTCGGTTTACCGGGCTGAAATTCAGCCCAGGCTGAAAACTCTCCATGTAATCGGTATAAAATATACAGAAATTATCTCGGTCATAGTACTTAGTCTTAAATAAAGAATGCTGTGACTGCTAAAACCATGTAAATTGATAATAACAGCCATTCTTACGGAAATGCATTTTCGGGTTTAATTCCCGATGAAAATAGCAACTATTTATGAGAAAATAGCGACCGGAACTTCCGGAAGGAACAAAACACTTGTAGATTTCAGTCACGCTATATGTCGAAAATACCCAATATTCACGGCCTCCGTACGAACTCTAAATACAATAACCCAGACTAATTTTTTTATATGTTCTAGAAGAACATTTGATTAGTTAATGGCGTACGTTTCGTGTAGAAAAAATCTGGGGCACTTAGTTAAAATGGTTTTGGCGTGGCAACGGTAGATTGCAATTTTAGCTATGTGTGAATAACATACGATTCTAAATATCAGCTGTCTGGTTTTAATTAATAGTTAATATCATGATTTTATACTCAATCGAGTCTCAAACATCTCTTCCATCGATTTACAAACGTACAGTTTTCATACCTTTTCCAATTCTGCATGCGTTAGTTGTTTTTGAGCCTGTTTGATTCAATTGAAAATTTGCATATTTTTTAGGCCGCCGACAGTTGAATCGTTTTTCTAGGATTTCTCAGAATTTTAGCGGTTTTTTGAAAAACAAACTACATCACGTTTGTTTACTTGGTAATGCCTTCCTGCAAACCAAAAATGAGCAAAATCGAAACTTTGAGCGTGACCGGCTGATGCTCGATATTAGTGGACCTTCGCTCTTAATTAATGTACGTATCAACAAAAACAAGTGCATGTAAAAACTTATTGAATCTAGACAGTTGTTTTGTCTAACAATGTGTGCCGTAATTGTGTCGACAAGAATAGTAATTTATTAGACTTATTAATTGTTCAGTTCGCGAGCGATTTAACGTAGTAGAAGTTAATCTAATTGAAAAGAATCAGGCAACTGTAACCAAGAAGGAGAGAGGCGGCGATTGTGATTGTGATCAACGAGAAGACATCGCTAGAGTTCAAAATCCAGTATATCCTGTTTTCTCAACAAACGAATTTGTAATAATCAATAATCGAGATCAAGAAACCCAAACTATAAAACCCGAAACCAGTGAGGAACTATTTTAAAATCATCAGATCTCAGATGCATGTATTTTCGGTGACAGTAAAATTAAAGTTTATTTCTACGCCCTGTAGGCTGCATGTACTCATAGTCAATGTAATGTTTGTTTGTGTATTTTCACATGGTTTTTGTGTTCTACAAAATTGTATTTACATTGTTTACTCTGTTTGCTTCAATATTAAATGTTTTTTCAACAAAAAAGCCTGAGAATATAATGTTATTTTTAGACTCCTTCGATAATGATCAATAAATGTAAACCGCTTCGGGCCTTCGGCCTTCAATGTAAACAATGACGTCACCGGTGGATTTTTCCACCGGTGATATTTGGCGCGCTGCAAGTGACAAAAGTCCTTTCCACAGAGGAAGTGAAGCGCGCCATAGAGAGGTCTGGAAAGGACTTTGGAAAGTCTAGCAACCAATCTCTTCCTGGTTGGTACACACCAGACAATGTTTATCGATAAAATCACAAAATAGACATGACATGGTATATTTATTCTGTGATAAAATATTCTTTTGTGCCATGCCACCTGACATGGCGGCTGACATGCAAGTCAAGAATAGAGAAAATGTAAAAATCAGTCCAGTCCAACTGTCCAGTCCAGTCCAACTGTCCAGTCCAGTCCAACTGTCCAGTCCAGTCCAACTGTCCAGTCCAGTCCAGTCCATGTTTTGTACTATGCCGTTCTCCTATATCTATGCTAATAGCCTACTAGTAGCGTAGCCAATCAGAAGATAGCCTACTAGTAGGTTTATACTAAATTATGATAGTCTGGAATGACTGCTGGTGATGAATGAACGTTGGTCGATGCGAGCTGTCCCAACTTAGAAACCTGCATGTATCCGAGATAAGGGATTCCTGGCATATGGAACACTTTTAAATCCGGCTATGCGCCGAGTACGAAATAGAGATATACTTAATTAATACTATTAATTAATTAAACAAGCAAGCACCAGAACAGTCGAATCCCAAAATGGAATAATAGCCTTATTATAATTAATATCAACCAATGCAGCATATCAAGTCCGCCATAACATTTCACTGTCACTGTATACTATCGATGGCAACCATGCATAAAGGAAGGACGATTGACGTTTTCTTCAGTGGCCATTCGTACTTGAGATGCAGCTGCCGACGTTGGGCTGCAGCGCCGTGATCAGGGCGCTTATATATAGGGCGGCGCAACGAGAGCGCGCGCTGATCGACGTGTGATGCGGAAAAAAACTGGGGCGAGTACGATTTTGCAGGAAATTGAAGAAAACCGCGATTTTGGATCTGCAACAGATCTGTTAAATCCTGTTGTCAACAAGCCGATATCTGGATGCGTTCGCTCGCCTTGTACCTGTCTGTTCTGACAGACCTGCGACGGCCTGTCAACAGGTCTGTTACAAGCTGTTGTGACAGAGCTGCTGCAATGCTGTTTTCAACAGGTCTGTTACAAGCTGTTGTGACAGAGCTGCTGCAATGCTGTTTTCAACAGGTCTGTTACAAGCTGTTGTAACAGAGCTGCTGCAATGCTGTTTTCAACAGGCCTGTCTCAAGTTGTTGACACAGAGCTGCAGCATGCTGTTTTCAACAACTTGCGACAGACCTGTGGCTGTTGCAAACCGAGGAAAGCGCCTTATGAAGCTTGTCTATCCACTATTTTGAACAAAAAACGGCCAAACAGGTTGCCATATTTCGGTTGTAGTGTTTCGTGAAATAGAAGTTTGAAATATAAAGTTTTATAAACAAACTTGCGAGATAATTTTTATATATGAATATAAAGTTTATAAACAAACTTGCGAGATGATTTTTATATATGAATATAAAGTTTTATCAAACTTGCGAGATGATTTTTATATATGAATATAAAGTTTTATAAACAAACTTGCGAGATAATTTTTGAGCAAAACAGCCGAAAAAATACGACAAATTCAAGAAAGGTTCTTATCGTAAACAATTTTCAAAATTATTTGTCTTGAAGTACGACCGAAATATGACAACCTACTTGCATATTTTTCTTCAAAACAGTACATACCATCAAAGATTAGATACTTTGATACCATAAACACAAAGCTTCAATAAGGCGTCTTCCTCGCTCGCAGATTTCACTTGAAATTGGAAAGAAATTATATAACGAATTTCATGTTCATATCAGCAATGACGAACGTTGCAGTGAACACTCGGTTGTTCATATATTGTTCATTTCTTAAGCTCTAGATCTTGTATTCTCATTGCTACAGTTTCTTCAAAAATCAAAACAGCTTTGAACTTGTTTGATTTTGTTTGAGGCAGTTGTTGAAATTTTGTTTGGCTCAAAATTCAAAAACAACTAAACATGATTACGTGATTGATATGTTTGTAATATTTCGCCCAATTGCAACGAGGAATGATGACGTGTGCACACGCGTTTATCCAATCAGATTAAAGAAATATATCGATAGCACACGTCAGCAAATTGGAATTTGGATTTTGGAAATCGGAACTTTTTTAAAAAAAATAAAACAGCGGCAAAGATTAAGTATATACTAAATCTTTGACAGCGGCTTTTGCATTTTATAATAATCAGAGAATAGATAATATGGACTATAATCTCTCCTATGTGATTTAATATCGCCACCAATGACAATGATTAAATGAGAAAGTGAAGCCGGAAGTGTCCATTTCGTGCGATTTTATATCTCTTTACTCACATTTTCGATTTGTTTCCCTACAACAGGCTTGTTGAAACTTGTTGTGACAGGACAAAAATTGTTTGTTGTGAATAGGTTTGTCGCAGGTCTGATAACAAGCTTGCTGCAGACTTGACAAAAACAACTCGCGACAGGTCTGTTGGAACAGGTTGGAACAGACCTGTTGATTTCAACAGACTTGCTGCAAATTGTTCTATCAGACCTGTTATCTCTTGTTAGTAACAGGTTTGTAGCGGGTTGTTTCAACAAGTCGCTATGGCTCTGTTGTCAACAGCTTGCGACAGACCTGTTACCGCAAGCCTGTTACCGCCTGACGAAACCAACAGACCTGTCGCGACTTGTTGACAACTTGCCGCAAGCCGGTAAAATCAACAGCTTGCGACAGGCCTGTGAGATTTCTGGCTGTGTAGGCGAGAAGTATTGTGTTCGATATTCGTTGAAATAAATTAATAGTTTGAGATGGATTCTTGCCCTCTATCTAACTTGTAATCTGGGGTACTTGATCGAAGGTCGATGTTTCTTCTATCGAACATTGAGCAAAAGCTGATCATATATATTGCTTTCGCACTTTCAAAAGTCTTTTGCAGTGAAAATGTCGTCAGCAGTTTTAATTAACCGACAAATCGGTAAAATCTTAAAACCTTATATTTTAAAACAAAAACTTCAAAATCAATGTATTTTATCGAAAACTTCGAGAGTGTTAGAGTTATTGTACACTATAATTATAATTATAATAACACTGATAGTATAAAATAGATTTGGGTATTGTATATTTTTACTCATGGTTTCCATGGATGTTTGTGTTTTAGACAATAAGATGTGCTGATGAACAAGGCTGCACAGTGCAAGATCAAACTGTGTTGGAAAAAAATGTTTAGTATTTGATGTAAAAGTCTAGGCTATACTCTAGTGCTAAGTTCTCTAGTAAGTCAAGGCTATACTGGTTTATACGACGTTCAAAAATTCAGATCGGCAATAATATGATCGACTACAAACTGTATATTAAACTATATAAACATGATATTAAAGTAAAATTTCGTTCGTTTTAATGAGGTTGTGCAATAACAAAGGTTAACAGCTAGGGAACCAAGCCTCGTTACGTCGGCACATCATGTGACCAAAAGGGGGCCGGGCGAGTATGTAATAAGAGATTGGCCGCCGCGCATTGGTGGTATTAGTAATCATTGTGCGTTGGAAGCGTAGTAAACGTATTAGGAACAAAGATTTAAAATTGGCTCGTCCTGTTGCCTACATATCACCAGAGTTCGTGATCGGGCTTTAGAGTTCAGACGGCAGTATCGCAGGTTTCTAACCGTACTGGCAGGGCACCAACGGAAGGAGCGTCGCAACTCGAGATGATGGGAAACCCACCGCAAGTTTCGCTCGTAAAAAAAAAACAAAAACCCGGTCAGGTAGGCGATAGTTCTCTTCGCCAGAGTACAGGTATGTTTGTTGTTCATTTGTTGACGGTATTAATGTTGCGGCGGAATCCGAGACTGTTCCCGCAGTTAGCAGCATGTTCGGCGGTGTAAGCTAAAATATAAATAAAGAACGGAGCTGCCCCTGTTTACCTTTGAGGGCACAACGGTGGTGCAGAAACTTAATGCGCATATAAAGTAAAGAACGCGGTTATAGAAGAAAGAAAGCATATATAAACATGGCGGACAACATGTCCAATTGTGCAGCAGAGGAAAATGTTAATATCTCATCGGACGACTTCCTAAACAACCTTGCAAAACTTCAGCTTGATAATAAATCGATCACTTTTGAAAAAGGGAAACTAAAGTGGATGAGAAGCTTCGACTGTCTTAAAAATTTCGTCGAAACAAGCTTACAGCTAAAAGGACAATGGTCGTCGCCTGGCGGGCATTTGAAATTATTCAAAGAAACGTCGGGAAGCGCTATTATCAGGTACTATACCAACTCAGCTTCAATCTTAATACAAGGAGATGAAGGTAAGAAACTTGAGAACATATTGCTAGAGAAAACAGCAAAAAATCAGCGACTGAGTGAAGATAGTGTCTTTGCGAATAAAGATGAGTCGATCGAAGACGTTTCGACTAATGACTTGAATAGTACAATAACACTTCAAATTACGACAGATTCTGACTTGAATGATAATCAAGCATTTATAGAGAATCTTTCTAGTGCTAGCGAAAGTTCTATACTGGCAGAAGCACTTGCAAAAGGGACAAATTTCGAGAGTAACACAGCTATGACCGACAACTCTAGCCAGATAAACGGGGACGAAGTAAATGGCGTCCAAGTTATAAATACCAGTCCGGTTCACTCATGTTCATGTCAAAAATTTGCTACTGAACTCGTGAGTCTCAAATATAAAATGTCTAATCTGCAGACGTCCATATTTTCTTTTGAAACTACATTAAAAGACCATGACACTATATTATCTCTGTACAATCGATCTTCCGACTTAAATGAGAAGTATCTAAGAGAAATAAGTAAGAGTAAACAACACATAATCAATCTTGAACAAAAATTAGTGAAACTTGAAGAAGAGAGAGACACATTGCAATTGGCAGCAAGGCTAATTGCTCAAGATAAATATTGCAGAAATAGTGATAGTAATTCCTTAAGGTGGCAAAATGTATCCAAAAGTAATACAACCGATCGTGATATTACTAATAATTCAGGGTACATATGCCGAATACTTCAGACATCCATGTGCGTAATAGATATATATATATATGAATCGCTAATTGATGAAGGGGATTACAACGGCTCTAATGAACCGGGAAATAATCACGACACCTTTCAAATTCACAATACACAAACGCTACATTCCATGCGAAATCAATCTCATTTGAATAATATCTCCGAGCAATCTCTAGAAGAGCATAACAACGAACCTCGGCACCCACAAGAAGATGACCAGCGTCAAAATACCAATAAACAACAAAGTGGGCAAGCCAAGTCAAGAATGCATAAGCAACAAAGTAGGCAAGACAACCCCTCCGTCGAAAGCGCTGATCATAACTCTATTTATTCGGGTGCCCAAAGCCTCGAACAGTGCGTGGTTTAATTGGGGACTCAATCATCAAGAACATTATCCCCCAGAAGCTGTCACGTAAGAAAGTTCGTAAGTTTACCTACCCCGGAAAGTCAGCAGAATAAATAGAATCAGAAATTCGAAATATAGATAATGCAAGCATTTCGCCTTCACATGTTATAATACATTGTGGGACGAACAATCTCCCAATTGATCAATCGAATGCTTGCCTTAATAAAATAGAGAAATTATGCTCTACGGTGCATGATAAGTTTCCAAATGCCGAGGTTGGGATCTCGGGTATTAAAATAAGAAACGATATCGAATCTTCTGCTAAGATGGCAGATGTTAACAATCAAATTAAAGAAATGTGTATTAGACATAATTGATACTTTTATAGATCATAAAACCATAAACGGATCCTGCCTCAATGGTAGTAGATTGCATTTAAACGCTAAAGGAACAGCTTTACTTGCTGTTGATTTTATTAACTTCCTAAGGGGAGGGAAGCCTTCAGCAACCTATTCACGTAACCGCCAGCAGTGCCGGATTAACCATATGGCAGAAGCGGCATATGCCACGGGCCCCGCGCTTTTGGGGGCCCCGCAGCCCTGTTTCAGCGCGGGGCCCAAACAGTGCGCTAGTGCGGGACCCCAAAGAGCCCAAGTCCCCCAGAAAACTGCCTCAAACGTTTTTTTTTGTTCCCTGTTTTAGTGTTTCAACGCGGGGCCCCAAAGAGCCCAAGGTCCTCAGAAAACGTTATAGCCCCCAAAATTTAAAAATCGAGGCCCCAAAGTGCGGGGCCCCGAACGATTATTTTGTTCCCTGTTTTAGCGCGGGATCCAAACAACGCGGGGCCCCAAAGAGTCCAAGGCCCCCAAAAGCGAAACCCCAAACTAAAAAAACCTCGAGGCCCCAAAGTTTAAAAAGCGAGGCTCCAAAAGCAGGCCCGCAAACAAAATTTTTTGTTCCTTCTATGAGCAAGGGGCTCCAAAAAGCGATCGCGAGGCCAGAAAATAATAGGGTTCAGAAATGATTTCAAAATTTGCAGCAAGCTGTTAAATACTAAAAGATCGCTGAATTTCATGGAAGACGGCAGAAGTTGATATGGACCCTCTGTAAATAATAATAATGTTAATGCGGACTCAACTTAATGGTATAAATTGGGTTGAATTTCAGTTCGATCAAATTATTGATGTATAATTATTTATGTATACAGGAAACTTTTGAACGCATGAAATACAAAAGGTATTTTTTAGTCTTACTGAATTCAGGGTCTAAAATGCCGTTGCGGGGATCAAGGGGCCCCGCTCCAATAATATGCCACGGGCCCCGCGGAAGTTTAATCCGGCCCTGAGTCCGCCAGTATGAAAATTTTCAAATGGAAAGGTCGAAAGGACAGCACGTCAATTAGAGAATATTCTGAGGACGATTACACGAGAACGGACTCGTTAAATTCAACAAATAACTCTAGTGATAACTTTAGCGATAATTTTAGTGATAACTCCAGCTCTAGCGATAAAATAGGGCCTAGGGAAAAGCCAGTTTCTAGTGATTCTGCCTCTAGTTTGTTTGATTTTGATGTTTCTAAGTTAAAAGACTTGAGAATTGCTAATTTAAACGTAAATAGTCTTTTAAAACATATTGACGAGATTCGCACTATGTTGTCTGATTACCCCTTTGATATTTTGGCTATTAACGAATCAAAAATTGATCCTTCAATTTCGAACTCTGAAATCAGTATACAGGATTATTCAATCGTTCGGTTAGATCGTAATAGATACGGTGGTGGTGTGGTACTTTATATAAAAAACAATATTCCATATGTGGAAAGAAAGAATTTAGTCTCTGATGACCTTGAAATGATATGTATTGAGGTTAATAGAAAGCATAGTAAACCCTTCTTGATAAGTACATGGTACCGACCACCCAGTTCTGATATTGATACCAGTGGAGTGTTATCGATAACTATGGAGTGTTATGGATACAAGTGGAGTGTTATGACTTTGAACTATTTCTTTTTAAATGTGATATAGAAGATAAGGAAATAATTTTGCTTGGGGACTTAAACTGTGATTTTAGTAAGGTGCCTCAGGGTTTCTGTACTCAAAAACTACAAGCATTGTGCTCCTTATATCAATTAACACAAGTTATAAATGAACCTACGAGAGTCACTGAGACTACATCGTCACTTATTGACGTTATTCTGACAAATACTCCTGAAAACATTTCGACATCAGGTGTCTTACACATTGGCATCTCCGATCATAGCTTGGTGTACACTGTACGCAAATTCAAATTATCTAAATCTAGACCTAATGTGAAAGAAGTCCGGGACTTTAAACATTTTTCAGATTCTCAATTTCGTTCAGATCTATCTCAGGTACATTGGGATACGATTCTGAGATATGATGATCCTAATACATGTTGGATTGTTTCGAAATCTATTTTTTACGAAATCCTAAACAAGCATGCACCCCTTCGACATAGAAGAACTAAAGCTAACCCAGTTCCTTGGATTACGCCTACTATCAAGCAATTAATGAGGGAAAGAGATTATCATAAAAAAAGGCTATAAAATTTAACTCTACAATACACTGGGAAAAGTATCAGTTTATGCGGAATAAAATAAATATACGAATGCGTAAAACAAAAGCCGAGTTCTATCATAGAGAGATTGGAGAGTGTGCTAAATTAAATGATTTGAAAAAACCTGGTCGCTAATAAACTCTCTTACTGGAAAGAATAATAAAGCCAACAATATTACAGAAATCTCTGTTAATAATTGTAACATCTCCAATTCGAAACTTATTGCCGAAGCCTTTAATGAATATTTCGTTAACATAGGCCCAAATTTGGCATCTGAAGTAAATCATGAACTTTCTGAAGAGGAAATGAATAACGGTTACATTCCTAACACTCAAATAAACACAGAATTTCAGTTCCATCAAATTAATGTGGAAAATGTAGCGTTGGCTTTAATGAATTTAAAGACTAACAAATCTACTGGTTTGGATAAAATTCCAGCCAAAGTCCTTAAACTAACTGCAGATATCATAGCTCCGTCACTGTCCTATATATTTAATTTATCACTCGAAACAGGGATTTATGTTGACGACGGGAAACGGGCTCGAGTGAATCCAATTTATAAATCAGACGACAGACTAAAATGTGAAAATTATAGGCCGATTTCTATACTGCCAATCGTAAGTAAGGTTTTTGAAAGAGAGGTTTTTAGACAAATTTATAGCTTTGTTTCTGATAATTTCTTACTCTCCAAGTTTCAATCGGGATTTCGACCTAAGCACTCCACACTGTCCTCTTTGATACAAATGTGTGACGATCTACTTGAGAATATGGATAATGGCCAAATAAATTGTGTCGTGTTCCTTGATGTACGTAAGGCCTTTGATTGTATAAACCATGAAATACTATTAAAAAAGATGCTTAACTACTTTGGTATATCAGGAATTCCACTAAATTGGTTCAAGTCTTATCTATCTGATAGAGAGCAGCAATGTCTGGTAAACGGTCATTTATCGAGCCCGAGAAAAATAAAATGTGGTGTACCGCAGGGATATATTTTGGGCCCTTTATTATTCCTATTATACATAAACGATATGCCTGACTCCTTAAAATATTCAACTCCATCCCTCTACGCAGATGACACAGAAATTTATCTATCCTCTAAAGATTGTGATGACATTGTTATTAAAATAAACCTTGATCTTGAAAATATTCGAAAATGGATGCTACAAAATAAGCTCCAAATTCATCCGACAAAATCGAAATATATGTTTATTGGATTAGCGTATGATATTAAACATAAGGTATCTGGTAACGCAATTCTTGTTAATAACGTTCCAATACCCAGGACTGAAAATTATTCTTGCCTTGGTGTCAACATTGACGAAAAATTGACCTGGGAAAAACATATTGATATGATATGTTCAAAAGTCAGTGCGGGAATCGGTGCTATAAGACGTATTAGGCCCTTCGTATCGTCTGCGACACTAAAATTGATGTACAATGCTATTGTGCAGCCCTACTTTGATTACTGCAGCCCTCTCTGGGACAACTGTGGAATAGGCCTCAAGGACAGGTTGCAGAAATTTCAAAATCGGGCTGCAAGAGTAATTTCTAGTGCGACTTACGATGTTCGGTCGGTTGATTTACTAGAAAGCCTGGGTTGGAAACACCTAGAACTAAGGCGAACTTATCTAAAATCTGTTTTTATGTATAAAATTCTGAATAACCACACCGCACCAAATCTAAGAACATCCTTTCGATTAAATAATGAATGTGATAATACCTATGATCTTAGAAATAGAGAAACCGATTTGTCTCTTCCTAAACCGAATACCGATTCTGGTAAAAGATGCTTCAAATATAACGGAGCGGTAGTATGGAATAATTTACCGTATGAGGTAAAAGTAGCGGAATCTTTAAGTTCTTTTCAAAGAACTATTAATCAGGCAAACACTTAAAATTTGCTCGTCCTGTTGCCTACTGTATATATAATTCTTCTTTCTTTGTTTTTGTATTTTTAATGTTTACCTGTACTGTATATATTTCTTCAAATCACGGCCCTCATGGAAATCAGCTCCTAGTTGTTGAGGCCAGCGTGCTTAAATAAATTTTTGTATGTATGTATGTATGTATGTATGTATGTATGTATGTATGTATGTATGTATGTATGTATGTTGCGATTTACGAGAGTGTTATTTGTGTTGGCACCCTCCCCATTTCTCCTTGCTGGAGTGATCGAGCGGCATCTCAACTCATGGGAAGAAAGGTATCCTGATATCGTCGCAGAACTACGTAAAAGGTTGTATGTAGATGATTTGCTCACCGGTGGGCAAACCATTCCACAAGCAGAAGATCGAAAGGTGAAAACGGTTGAAATCTTTGAGGATGCCTCATTCAAGTTACATAAATGGAACTCAAACGTAAGTGAACTTGACGTGAACGGTGAACCTTCAGCAGGAAACGACGATGAAACATGCGCCAAACAGCCGTTAGGTGGTGATTCA